ATCCTAGTATTCACTTGTAGGTTGAAATGCATTCATGGGTTTAACCTTGACCACTTGCAGTTAATGATACCAGCGTTGCAATTTGTCACTACAAAAAAAAAAAAAAAAAAAAAAAAAAAAAAAAAGGCAAGGAAAGGCAATATCAATGTAGATTCTAACGCCCAGTGAAGCGCATATTCCCATACTTAGTACTAGAGTATCAATAAGACGCCAAATCTCAAGGTCAACTTGGAAGGCACAGAGTCGCAAATGAGATTGAACTATGAATGCCCAATAGAGTACTACCAGTAATAGTAGTAGTACTTGGTGTTGCGCACTTTGCCCCTTGAAGTATGCAATTAAATTAAATTAAAATATTGTTTATTGGTACATGATCATTCGATCGTTCATCTAATTCTACTACTGTGAATAATGGGGATATTTTTTGCCATCTTCGTCTCTTGTGCTGTGGGATATTCATCGCTTAGCGCGTTTACAATACGTTCTAGGCGCTTAACTAAACCGTGTAAACTTGCTCCTCCAAAGCAGCATTTGCGCCAACATTTCACCAACATACGAACAATCCCTAGCCAACTAGACGCGACACGGTACGAGCTGCCAGTAAAATAGGCGGAAAACGCTAGATAGCACAAAACCCGGCCATGCTTCTCACCGCTTTCTTATAACGCTTATTTGTTCCTCTCAGCGACCATCATCTCGTTGAGAACTTCAATGGCAGCTCCTCCCAGCGAAAAAGCTTGTCTGGTTGCCCAACAAGATAAAGACCTGCAATCGGGAGCTTCAGTTCCGGCCAAAAGGAAAACCACTGATGGTTCTACATCCAACAATGGTCTCCCAATAAGTTTCACCTCCCGCAAACCGCCATGGTCATATCTCAAGCTTCAGCTGTGCGAATCCCGTTACCACTCCAACCCTCTCTATATTCCGAAACTTGACTTTTCGAATTAGCAATCTAATTCTAAAATATTGTCTAGAATTACTCACCCAAATCCGTCATCGTCAACCCCTATCGATGAACTTACAGCACGCACATATCTTACCTCCGCCCTCTCCCAATTCCTAGGTGTATCGGGCACATCCATCTCAGTCGATATCCTAAAGATTGAATTCGTTCCCTCGGGTCAAAATATGGTATGGATTCGAGTTCCTCGCGACGACGCAGCAGCGGTAGTAGCAGCTGTCAGCTCCTGGATCGGGGGCGGGGCCCAATCGGTGGCTAGCGTTTCCTGGAGAATCCTAACGAAAGGCGGCTTCCTAGGTGCATTGGTAGGAGGATCGGGAAAAGAATTGTTCGTACCTTGATATATCAGCGATATATGGCTTTCCTTTGCCTATCGACGATGTCTCACAAAACAAAACTGAGTATCGACTATGGAGTTGATGCTCTATATTTCCACATTGCGACCCTCGCTTCCGACCATGTGGGAATAGGCTCAAAAATGCGCTTTACTATGTGAAGTGCGGCGCAGCAAGTACGTCAGAGGAATGCAAATTGAGTTTTTACTTGCAGCCAAACAGCGGATATGGCTTTATTGGTGCATTGAGGACGTCAGGCGGGGTCTTGTTGATGTGCTAGTGATGTGTTTCTACCTAGTTAGACGTTGTCGGTAGCATGTGAACAGCGGCAGAATTACTGGTAATCAAAGCCGGTCGTATCGGGTGGTTGCTATCATAACGATTCCAAATATCGGGACGTTCCGCCTGAGAGCTGGAGTATTGAATGCTAGGAGGAGGATATCTGACAGTGTCTTGATGGTTCCTTTGGCATATGAATTCCACTCCGTTTGTCTCTGTCCGCCCTTAAGGGAAGTACACAATTGTAACATACTAGATACATACACTGTGAGAAGTATTATATTTAGAAGGCCATCCTTCATCTGTTGATTGGGTTATAATTTGTTGTTTCTACGTCTGACATTGCCTAAATTGATGCGCAATATGCCTTAGAGAGTCTGGGATTTGGCTAGTACTAACTATATAGTACTGTACAAGTCGTCATGAACTCTAGGACTACAGTACATATGCCTCGTGGTTACTGTAATCTCCATACACACTCACCTCCAACTTGGCGAGAGGGCTCCGATCTGCGTACGATGGCATATAGCCACTGCTTATACACTCACCAGGGGACGATCACTAGGGATAGGGGTGAAGCCCGAACCCGGCCAGTGAAAGGTTCCTTGACGGGGTCTAAAGGGGTTCACGCCCAACTCATAGTAGACGCCTAAGTGGAAGGCCAAATGGGACAACCTGTACTACGTATGTACTAGTCAAAGAGTATTGTAGCCTAGTAAAGAACATGTGCCCTGGCGGGCACGTAAGGAACAGCCACGTAGTGCCCACAGGGATGCAGACATTGGCTTAAGGAATCAATCAATCAATCAATCAATCATGAATGTATTGGCTCATTGGGAGGAATTTTCAAAGTTGTTGATCTGCAATCTTTATTGCTTTCTTCAATTTTCCACGTACTCCACTCTTTCATTTGCTTACGCAGTTCACCGTCAATCAGATTACTCTGCATGCTCTAGAGAGGAAACAGCTGCTCAAGCTGTCACCAATGTAAAATCTGATGGGATGCGTTCTCTAGCCACTTCGAAATTATCAATTTTGGTCGGGTATTATGGTCACGTGGTATGCCACAGGCAGGTCTTGGCGCCATGAATCAACCAATTAAACCCCGGAAATGATTTAAAGTTTCAACCCTAAAAAAGTCTATTTTACACCACACTAATATAATTTTCAGAGTTTCGTACAAGCCATCACCAAGCTTGGGCAATTGGTTTAGTGGTATAATACCCCCTTAGCATCCGATTTATATTGGAACAAACATTTGGGGGTGGTCGGGAGTTCGATTCTCCCATTGTCCATTCTTTTTCCTTACAAGATACAAAGGTGGGAATCAAACCGCGTAATACTTCCGTAGTCCAGGGTTGTTAAGCTTTTTAGAATTTCTTTTTGATGTTTCGTTTTTTTTTTATCGTTCTTTTTGATCTCTGGGGTTGGTTTTTAAGTTTGTACAGACTAGGCCGCCTTAAAAATATAAAGAAATATAAAGAAAATATTAATAATAATTATCAACACGAATATATATATATTACTATCAGTTGAATCATTTATACTTCTATTATACGTAGTATTTATCTGGCGTGCCTCACCAGAATTGCCTCCACGCACACCGTCTGTACCGACCGTTCCATTTTTTCGCCTGTCTGATCGTAACGCTCCTCCCTCCATGTTGCGAGCAATCGCCCTTACGGCGGTTCCGTTACAGCTCCTTAGAGCCAAAAATGGCTTCCCCTTTGCTCACCCAGGTCCAATATGAGGGTGGGCAATCCCCCGCCTTGCCGACCGCGAAACATACGCTCAACGGGTAAGATACTAGATTGTACAGTGGACGAATGGAGAGAGGAAGAAGTAGATGAATGGATGAATGAGCAGATGGCGAAGGATTAACTGTAATCCTAAACCCTTCGGCCAATCATAGTAGTGGTTGCTGCGGTGAATCGTATTTCGAATTCATCAAGATGGCATGCTCATTGGAACTCCGGTTAGCCCGGAACTGCTATATTACCCAATATACCCAATCTTCAGTTCGTTCGACAAGGCAATTGAGGCCCCTTGGAAGGCCAAATATGATGGCGCATGGTGCAGTCGAAGTTCTACTTAATTAACATTTATCAACTATCGAATTCATAAGCTCAGCCCGCAATTGGAACGGCCCGATAAATACATCCCCTTTCCTAGCTTTGCTGCTAAATACGATTTCTGTCTGCCGAACAGTTCCCATGAAACTTTCGTTTCATCTGGATTGATTTTTCTGCTTGGGCGAACTAACTACAAATTTAGAGGTAAAATATTCGGTGAACTGCTAATGTATTAAAGGTTCTAACTGCTACCAGGGGAAGGAGTTCGCTTCTGGCGAGAAGCGAAGAGCCAGATCGCATCTTGGTCGTAGTTACGTGGTGCGCAAATATTAGCACTCTCGTTCCTCAGATCCATGAATGTGACCTACCTGAGAGCTGAAGGGAAGTAGTAGTACATCGTTTCAACAAGGACTTTCAAATGCAAGCTGGTGAAGTTCGGGTCGGACTGTTTCCAGGCCCTGAGTGCTTGCCGCGCTTCATTCCGGTCATCAGCGGAATCGAGTATCTCTCTGACTAAATTTCTCATTACTTCTGCCTTTGTTTTAAAGTCCTCTGAAGGTACCCAATCATCAAGAAGAATATCAAGAGAGTTACAGAACACTTTATAGTCATTTTAAATTTTTTCTTCAGTAATGTAGAATGAGCTCTCATTCAACTCCAAGATTATCAAGCAGTTTTTCGTTTAATCTGCTTGTCATTTTCTTTCAATTGCGCTAAACATTATGCATCATGTCTCGAAGAACAATTCATCATTCTCTCATGTAAAGCTTACAAAGTCAATAAGTTGCTGCTGTATTATAGCATGTGGGTAGGGTATGGCTTCAAAGATATGAGAATTCAAACTCTTGAATTTAGAAATGAAGAATTTCTGTAAAGTGAGTATGCTCATATCTGAGCAAGATTTCTTTTCTTTCTCCTGCTGTCAGGCCGGACGCTGAAGATAGATTAAAAAGAAGTGGTCTGTTTATTCAAAGAAATTCTGAACAGCTTGAAGTTTATAAACAGTGACAGATTGATACAATCTTGTTAGTTAATGATACTGACAATTTTTTGATTCTTGATAAAGATATTTCCAGCATACAAATCAGGATACCAGATTGTTGGCCGATATAAGTCCAGGTTAAAGGCAACACTAGCGGTATAATCCTTAGATATCTATTCAAGAGTTGTAAGTGAGAGTCTAGGAATTCTTGACTTGTCGGCTGTCAGAGCGAATCTGCATGATCTCTGGTTTTGTAAAACAATCTATCTACTTCATCTCGCGCCTTGTAACATCTTTAGTGTAGAACTCTGATGATGTTTTCAGTGGTTATTCTGATTAGTGATTACAAACATCATAACTATATCAAATGGATAGTATGCTTACAGAGCTCTCTGCATTTGCTCATAGTCTCAAGTTTTGCTTCTTAAAATGATATAGTGGTAAAAGACTTGATACAGAACCTGTCAGAAACCCCACGAATACGCTGACAGCCGCCAATATCATCACGGTAATATAAACTCTCATACAACTGAAAGTCAACAGAACACGCTCGTGCTTGGATATTAGCTAGTTGAGACACAATGTTCACTTTCTCAGATATATCTGTAGACATCCAAGTCTTCCTACACTCCTCGCCTGGTGTCATTCTCATAATGATGTATTTCACTTCAATCAATTGGTCTTTCCTGCTGCTTCAAGCTAGGGCCCGTGGGACTGGTATGTCTAGTTCAGTCCGCAAAAAGTCAAGCGTTGCGATCTCGCTAGCAGTTGACAATCTAGAAGGTAGATAATGATTGAGTATTCATGCAACAATCTGAACATCATTGTCTATCATAAGAAGAAAGATCTTGTTGTATAAGCTCTCTGAGAGTTTAGTAATACTAGCACAGTAACTGGCATTGATAGATTTAGAAGCGACTGCTTTTAGACCGTCAACATCAAGAGGCTGATGTCGTTTTCAACAACGAGTAGCTTCATCCTATAATCGACAGCCTGATGTGTAATTGAAAAGAGGATTGAGAAGAGGATTTTTATTTGGCTTCTGTGAATTCATTGATTCTGGTAACAGTTAAACTTGATGCATGTAGAGCAAAGAAGGGGATTGTAAAAGTACTTATATTAAATAACCTCTTGGTAGTGGCCCCCCTTGGGCAGATTTGTTTCCCATATGGAACTTTCGAAATATTTAACACAGGGGGCCTCATGATTATGGGCTGTTCATGGACAAGAGTTAGCTCAGCCGGCTCAGACCCTATGTTCTATTCGGTCGGTTCCAGCGGCATGACACCAAACTAGGTACAGAGCTGCACAGAAGATTTGTGAGGTTAACTAACTAGCAGTTTAATGTCTTACTAACCATTAAGACAACGCAGCGGCTGAGCAAGCTGAGACAAGGGAACAAAAGATGATAGAATAGATGCATTAGGCCTATAAAAGAGCCGAAATGGACTGAGATATTCATCTTCATGTTCTTCATCAAACTTCATCGAATCGAAGAACCGCGCAGAGATACCACTACATCGCCTAGAATTCTTACAGATATCTCGAAGAATTAATTCCGTGTGCTGGCGCAATTGTAGCGAAATAAATCTCTACGAGAGGGGTTAGCGCAGTGCAGGCTGCAAGAATGAAATGGACATGGAACACTATGCCTGTTGTGACGCGGGGGGGAATACGAGAGACATGGATAGAACCAGAAGTGAGAAATCACGAAAGAAAAGAAAAGAAAAATGAAAGTGAAAGAGAAAAGAGAGAGTGCGTACGAGATGAAAGGTCGAGGGAGGTGTTTATAGTATAGAAGAGCAGGGGTTGGGATGGGGTTGGCAGCAGAAAGCGCTAAACCGGAATAGGAAGCATTAAACCTAAAACATACTAGACCGACACGATGGCGCTAGACCGAAAGAGGTGAGAGGCCATACGAAGAAAAATGGCGGCTCGGCGAAGAGCTGGGAATTTCCTGGCTACGGAGTCCTAATATCGAAATATATAGTAATTATGGTGTACGGAGTACGGAGTATATTTGCGATATATGTCCACGACCATGAAAATGTCACTATGATGCCTGTAACGCCCACAATTCACTCCATCAGTAATGGATTATATTTTTGTACGGAGTATTTCCACACCTTAACACCGCAGCGACACTTAGTTTCCGAATTCACTGATCTGTGAAAGAAGTGAACATTTTCACTTTGGCAAATTACTACCCCTTGCAATCGAGCTTGCAAATGGGAGCAAGTGGGTCTCATCAATTGTCCACATCTTGAACATATTTCTACATTATCATGTACACAGTACGGAGTAGACGTTTCATACCTGCGAGCCGGGGGAGCCAGCAGCCAGCGGGTTCTGCGGCCAATTGGCTCCCACGGCAAAACGAGCGCCGGCCAAGTAGAAGAACCACGCCTGATTTTAACCGGCCGGAATATTTGGCGGCCCGGAAGCTTGGGTCTGGCGGGGCTAAACCTGTTCTGGACCCATCAAATCGGTGCACATAACGGGACATGATTGGTTACGATCGCCGACAGGGCTGAGGTAAGCAATGCGGGGGCGGTAAGGAAGCTGTCCCTTTTGAGCAGGAGTTAGGGTTTCGGCCATGGATTGGCCAGAAGGAGCTTCAAGGAGCGTCAGCAACCGGTGGTGGGAAGCCGAGCAAGCAGGCGATGGCAACTCGCCATCATATTAAAAAACCCATATTAATATCTGTGCCATCTTCTCCTTCCTCCTCTTCCTTTTGTCTCTAAATCTCTCCTCTGTCTTCCTACTTGCCTGACAATCTAGCTGGCCGGTTTATTTCGTACTATATACCATCAATCTTGGAGAGCTCAGCTGCTTAATTCCCTATACCCGACGGTGCTGTTGACTGGCCAGCCAGCTCTGTGATCGATCCCAAGCTTTTAAACACGATCCTGTCGTCCTCTACCTATTCACGATGGCCTCCATTTCTCGATCAGTCGCTGGCTTGAGGGCGCTGCCACGGATTCAATCAGCACGGTCGTTTGCAACCTCACGGCGCCTCCGAGCGAGTGCTGCTGCTGATAAGCCATTCTTCCCCAATGAGCCAGCTAGGCCAATTGTGAAAACCTCCATTCCTGGGGTCAAGAATCAACAAGCAGCTGCGGAGCTGGAGGAAGTCTTCGACACGAGAAGCATGAATATGCTGGCAAACTATGACGCCAGCACTGGAAACTAGTAAGTTTGAGGAATCAAGAAATTTATTGATAGCATTGAATACTACAAA